ATTAATTGTTTAAACACATGTACATGAGTTCGCAGAACTTGTCAACCCTTAAAATATGAAAATGATGCAAAGGACAAAACATGTTGTTTGTGTGTAATGCAGTGGAAGAAACTTACGTACACATGGAAACTTTAAAAATCTAAATTTTGAAATATTGCAAAATAACAAACAACACAAACACAATATTTTTAATGAATTGGTCTATAGAAATTTGATGTTTATACGTGGTACTCTGATCACGTCATTCGTTATAATTTAGTTAGGTGAGTTAGTTTCAGGTGATTGGCATATAATTAGCAAACCCCAAATTTGTTTTTTCGTTTTTTCTGGTCCTGTTATGATGATATTTTTGTGTTCAAGTTATCTTATGATATATAGGCTCACACAATATTGTAACAAATTTATATTTTTAATATGTAAATGAACATGACGTTACAATGTTCCGACAACATTATATATTATTTGAAAAATCGGATAATTTGTTGTAGTATTTTTTTTTTGCCCACACTTCTGTTGTTGTATTTGTATTTGGGAATATTTGTAAGGAATCTTGTATGGTTTGGCTTGTGATATATGACCATTTAAACAAAAATTCCTTCGATATATATGTTTAAAATTTTTTTGCATGTATCCTTTATTACGGGTGAAACTATTATCCGAGATCCAAAATTCGATCCGTTATCAGTTCGGATCCACTTCGAAAATTAGGATATCCAGAGAATTTGGATCCGGATAAAGATAAAAAAATCTAGGATCTGTGAAAAGAGGACCCGGATCCGGATAGCAAAATTTGAAGGTCTGGATATCCGGATCCGAACGTATTAAATATATTAAAAACATATAGTATATTTTATATATATTTAAGCTATTTTTATATAAATTGATTTTAGTTCTTTTCATAATATATATTATATAATATATTATATATATCATGAAAAATATCATAGAAAATGTTAACTAATAATTTTTTTTAAAATTATTTTTAGTATTAATTTTGGGTCCAGATCCGGATCAG